ATAGGAGTCCCAGAAGAAGAAAAGCAGGTAAAGGGGGAAAAAGGTTTATTTGAACAAATTATAGCTGAAGCTTCCTAATCTGGGGAAAGAAACAGGCATTCAAGTCCAGGAGGCACAGAGAACTCCCCTCAAAATCAACAAAAACAGGTCAACACCAAGACATATCATAGTGAAACTTGCAAAATACAAAGATAAAAAGAAAATTCTGAAAGCAGCTAGTAACAAAAATTCCTTAACCTACAAGGGTAAAGACATAAGTTTAGCAGTAGACCTGTCCACAGAAACATGACAGGCCAGAAGAAAGTGGCAATGGTATATTCAACATGCTAAATGGGAAAAATATGCAGCCAAGAATACTTTATCTAGCAAGACTGTCATTCAGAATAGGACAGATAAAGAGATTACCTGACAAGCAAAAACTAAAGGAATTCATGAACACTAACTAGCACTGCTAGAAATATTAAAGGGAACACTTTGAGCAAAAAAAGACCAAAAGCAACAGTGACTAGAAAGGAACAGAGACAATCTACAGGAACAATGACTTTACAGGTAATACAATGGCACTAAATTCATATCTATCAATAAATGCTCTGAATGTAAATAGACTAAATGCTCCAATCAAAAGACAAAGGGTATTAGAATGGATTAAAAAAAGAAAACAAGACCTATCTTTATGCTGCCTACAAGAGATTCATTTTAGACCTAAAGACACCTGCAGATTGAAAGGGAAGGGATAGGGAAGGATTTATCATGCTAATGGACATCAAAAGAAAGCTGGGGTAGTAAACCTTATATCAGACAAACTAGATTTTAAACTAAAGACTGTAATAAGAGATGAAGAAGCATACTACATCATAATAAAGGGGTCTATCCAACAAGAAGATCCAACAGTTGTAAATATTTATGCTCCCAAGTTGGGAGCACCCAAATATATAAATCAACTAATAACAAACTTAAAAAAACTCATTGATAATAATACAATAATAGTAGGGGACTTTAAAACCCCATTTATAGCAATAGATCATCTATGCCAAAAATCAACAAGAAAACAATGGCTTTGAATGACACACTGGATCAGATGGACTTAACAGATATATTCAGAACATTTCATCCTAAAGCAGCAGAATATGCATTCTTCTCGAGTGCACATGGAACATTCTCCAGAATAGATCACATACTGGGTCACAAATCAGCCTTCAACAAGTACAAAAAGATCATACCATGCATATTTTCAGATCACAACACTATGAAACTTGAAGTCAACCAAACGAAAAATTCTGGGAAGACCAAAAGTACAGGGAGGTTGAAGAACATCCTACTAAAGAATGAATGGGTCAACCAGGAAATTAAAGAGGAAAGTTTTCAAAATATATGGAAGCAAAAGAAAATGAAAACACGACAATCCAAAACCTTTGGGATGCAACAAAGGTGGTCATAAGAGGGAATTATATAGTGTTGCAGGCCTTCCTCAAGAAACAAGAAAAGTCCCAAATACACAACCTAATTTTACACTTAAAGGAGCCGAAAAAGAACTACAAATAAAGCCTAAAACCGGCAGAAGAAAGGAAATAATAAAGATTAGAGCAGAAATAAATGATATATAAATAAAAAAAAAAAACAGTAGCACAGATCAATGAAACTAGGACCTGGTTCTTCGAAAGAATTAACAAAATTGCTAATTTTCATTGATAAACCACTAGCCAGACTCATCAAAAAGAGAAAGGACTCAAATAAATAAAATCATGAATGAAAGAGAGATCATAACCAACACCACAGAAATACAATTATAAGAGAATATTAAGAAAAAATTATATGCCAACAAATTGGGCATTCTGAAGAAATGGATAAATTCCTAGAAACACATAAACTACCAAAACTGACTAAAATTAAGAAGACAGGGAACAACAAATGTTGGTGAGGATGTAGAGAAAGGGGAACCCTCTTACACTGTTGGTGGGAATGCAAGTTGGTACAGCCAGTCTGGAAAACAGTATGGAGGTTCCCCACGAAGTTAAAAATAGAGCTACCCTATGACCCAGCAATTGCATTACTGGGTATTTACCCCAAAGATACAGATGCAGTGAAATGAAGGGGCACCTGCACCCCAATGTCCAGAGCAGCAATGTCTACAATAGCCAAACTGTGGAAGGAGCCGAGATGTCCTTCAACAGATGAATGGATAAAGATGATGTGGTTCATATATACAATGGAATATTACTCAGCCATCAGAAAGGATGAATACCTACTATTTACAATGACATGGATGGAACTGGAGGGGATTATGCTAAGTGAAATAAGTCAATCAGAGAAAGACAATTATCATATGGTTTTACTCATATGTGGAATATAAGGAATAGTGCAGAGGATCATAGGGGAAGGGAGGGAAAACTGAATGGGAAGAAATCAGAGAGGGAGACAAACCATGAGAGACTCTGGACTCTGGGAAACAAACTGAGGGTTGCTGAAGGGGAGGTGAGTGGGGGATGGGGCAACTGGGGGATGGGCATTAAAGATGGCACGTGATGTGATGAGCACTGGGTTTTATAAGCAACTGATGAATTATTGAACATTACATCTGAAATTAATGATGTTAGTTTCATTAACATTAGTTTCAACTAATATGTTGGCTAATTGAATTTAAATTAAAAAAAAAAACTACCAAAAATGAAACAGGAAAAAAAACAGAAAATTTGAACAGACCCATAATCAGCAAAGAAATTGAAGCAATAATCAAAAATCTCCCAACAAACAAGAGTTCAGGGCCAGATGGCTTCCCAGGGGAATTCTACCGAACATTTAAAGAAGAGTTAATACCTATTCTTCTGAAAGTGTTTTAAAAATTAGAAATGGAAGGAAAACTCCTTCAATGAGGTCAGCATTATTTTGATCCCTAAACCAGACAAAAACCCCACTAAAAAAGAAAATTACAGGCCAATATCCCTGATGAATATGGAAGCAAAAATTCTCACCAAGATACTAGCTAATCCAATCCAACAGTATATTAAAATAATTATTCACCACTATCAAGTGGGATTTATTCCTGTGCTGCAGGTGTGGCTCAGTATCTGCAAATCAATTAACATGATACACCACATTAACAAAGACAAGAACCATATGATCCTCCCAGTAGATGCAGAAAAGGCATTTGACAAAATACAGCATCCTTTTTTGATAAAAACGCTCAACAAATAGGGATAGAAGGAACATACCTCAACATCATAAAGGCCATATATGAAAGACCCACAACAAATATCATCTTCAATGGGAAAAAAACTGAGAGCCTTTCACCTACAATCAGGAACAAGACAAGGATGTCCACTCTTACTATTACTATTTAAAATAGTACTGGAAGTCTTAGCCTCAGCAATCAGACAACAAAAAGAAATAAAAGGCTTCCAAATCAGCAAGGAAGAAGTCAAATTTTCACTCTTTGTAGACGACACAATACTCTCTGTGGAAAACCCAAAAGACTCCATCAAAAAATTGCTAGAATACATGAATTCAGCAAAGTTGCAGGATACAAAATCAATGTGCAGAAATCTGTTGCATTTCTATACACCAATAACAAAGCAGCAGAAAAAGAAATCAAGGAATCGATCCCATTTGCAATGGCACCAAAAACAATAAGATACGTAGGAATAAACCCAACCAAAGAGTTAAGAGATCTGTACACTGAAAACTAATGAACACTTATGAAAGAAATTGAAGAGGACACAAAGAAATAGAAAAACATTCCATGCTCATAGGGTAGAACAACAAACATTGTTAAAATGTCTATACTACCCAAAGCAATCTACACATTTAATGCAATCCCTATGAAAATACCACCAGCATTTTTCACAGAGCTAGAACAAAACATCCTAAAATTTGTATGGAACCATGAAAGACCTGGAATAGCCAAAACAATTCTGAAAAAGAAAAACAAAACTGGAGGCATCATGATTCCAGATTTCAAGCTATATTACAAAGCTGTCATCATCAAGATAGTATGCTACTGGCACAAAAACAGACACATAGATCAATGGAACAGAACTGACAACCCAGAAATGGACCCACAACTATATGGTCAATTAATCTTTGACAAAGCAGGAAAGACTATCCAATGGAAAAAAGACAGTGTCTTCAACAAATGGTGTTGGGAAAACTGGACAGCAACATGCAGAAGAACAAAACTGAACCATTTTCTTACACCATACACTGAAATAAACTCAAAATGGATGAAAGATCTAAATGTGAGACAGGAAACCATTAAAATCCTAGAGGAGAACAAAGGCAGCAATCTCTTTGACTTTGGCTGTAGCAACTTCTTACTAGACACATCACCGGAGGCAAGGGAAACAAAAGCAAAAATGAACTATTGGGACTTCATCAAGATAAAAGGCTTTGCACAGTGAAGGATTAGTTTTGTAAATTACTTTGTTCTAAGAAAATGCACATTGAAGTATTTAGGGACAAAGGGGTATGATATCGGCAACTAGTTCTCAAATGGTTCAGGAAAAAAATTAAATTCATACACCTGCATACTTGCCATTTCAGTACAGCCCATCATATATTATAATGCATTTATCTCATTGTGATCATATTGCTGATCATACTAAACTAATGGCCAACTAAGATCTCACCTAGCCAGCAGGTTGTTCCTCACTGGAATTTCAGGCTGATATGTGCTCAGGGTTTTGACAACAAAAGCATGCTTCCCAGATATGCCTGGGCCACACCTCCTGTTCAGGCAGGGATTGGTATTTTGTTACCAGAAATGGGCTTGGCCAAATTTTGTGGTATAATACCCTATAAGCATTTAGCTAAGTAAAATTCAGAATTTTCCAAAACCATACCAGGGAGATTGATCATAAAATGAAGGGTTAGAACTAATTTCTAGTGCTCAGAAGGATGAAACCCAACTTTGCACTAAACTCACTGGTCAATAGAGTGTTGAAGGTACCTTAAGAATCTTTTTAGATGACAATAACCAAGAAAATGATCTTAAAATAGTAACTGACCTCCAAGCCCAGGTCGTAGTCGGTTATCATAGCCATCCAGAAGACGGTCTAAAATTCTGGTGAATATGGTGATGTTGTCCGTGCTGTCATCAGGAATATCTGGGGCGTGCTTAGGAGAGAGTCTGAGACAGTGGAAGAAAAAGAGATAAAAAATAATATTCTTCATAGGAAACAATTACATGTGTAATTACTTTAAGAAGACTTCAATCAATAGAGTGGGCCAAATAAATAGCCCGTTATCTTAACCAAATCAGCACTTCCTATTCATCACAATGATTATCTGTGTAAAAGGCAGGTGGTAGTCACTATACTTGAGGCCTTACTCCAGCTTTGTCAAGAGGTTAACCAAACATGCTCCAGCTCCAACCCAGTAGTGAAGAAACACAAGCAGAAATTAACAGAATGTGCCTGTGAACAGTACCCATCATAAAGTTATTCACCAAAGGGCACCTGGGTTGCACAGTCAGTTAAGTGTCCAACTCTTGGTCATGAGATTGAGTCCCGGGTTGGACTCCATGCTCAATGGAGTCTGCTTAGGACTCTCTCTCCTTTGTCCCCCCCCCCACAAAATAAATAAATACATCTTTATAAAGAAGTTATTCACCAAATTTTGCTGCATGAATGAACAGTCTACAAAATTAAAAAAGGAAAATTGTGTTACAAAGAACTTATCCCTCTTCTAGCCTAGAGAAGCATAGGTTCACAGAGCAACAGAGCCAGACTGTTGAAGTGCATTTAGTCTACCTACCTACCACCCTATGGAGATAGGGCAACAAAACAATAGTACTCCATTAAATGTTAAATCTACCAGGACTCTTAGGAGATTCTCTAATTTTTCTCATTTTATACATAGGGAAATAAGCTCGAAGAGGACACCACCAAATTTGCCCCAATCATATTGCTAGTGAGAGGCTAAAATAGGACTAGAATCCAAGTTTTATAATTTTCTATTGACCCTCAGCTACCTCCTGATTCTCCAGTTTGGATGCCTTCTGTAAGTCTTTCCAAATACTAGGCACTTTGATAACCACCTATTCAGGTCCAGGCTGACTGATATTTTCACTTTGTGAGGAGGGGCTTGTTGTGGTTTCACAGGACTAAAAATGACACTCTCTGCATAGTTTAGGAGAAAAGAGGGTATAGTGAAACTGATGGCTGTTGCCAAGGATCAAGAAGCATAGTGTAGAATCAATTAATAAATTAGGAGTCAGGAATCCCGGGTTCTACTGCCAGCTGTATTCATGATTTGAAGTAGACCATTAAGCAAGTTACACTATTGTATCTCTATTCTTACCCCCGAAGGTTTCCATTAATAGATATAACTGTTCCTACCAACCTGTTAGTCAAGTCTATAAAAAACATAAAATAACAGTTGAGAAGGAGTCCTAAGAGAGAGTCAATATGTCTTCCCACAAATATTTATTCTTAGTGGCTACAAAGGTTCCTTTTATGAAAAAGACCCTGAGAAAAGTCTACAGAATAAAAACATCAAAAGTGAACAGTTCTCACTCTAAACTGCCACTCCAGCAGATAACCTTGGAAAAGTCATTTTAGACCTCAATTTCCTTAATTCGTAAGCCTAATTCAATTCACTTAATCATTCAATACCTCTTTATTGAGCATCAACTATGTGCCTCTAACTGTTTAGGTATTGTGATAGAGCATAAAAAAGGTAAAACAAGGTGAGTAATCTTTCCCTTGCTTACAGGGTTGCCGAGAGAATCAAATGATAACACAGATATACATGGAAGGAAAAAGGGAACTTGGCTTAAAGAGTCTAGAGACATACATTTGAATTTATTAGTGTGACCTTAGGCAAGTCATATAACACCTCTAGTAATAGCTTTCTCATCTTTAAAATTAAAATAACTTCACAGATAGGTTGTATTAATATTAATAATATGTTAAAATTGCCAGGCTTAATGTTTAATATCTGGAAGTATTCACAGTTTGGTTTTTTTTTCTTTTTTGAAATAGTACTGTATGCACTTGAATGCATTATTCAAATGCAAATAGTAACAAAAAATATTGGCACCCCCATCAGCCAAAAGACATAAAGAAAACTTTGGCCAGAGAGGCACTAGAACCCAGTGAAGAATAGAGATGATTGGCTGGGTTAGTGGACAGAGCACTAGAAGTGATACAGATACCTCACTAGGGAGGGGGAAGAAAGGAGGGAACTATACTGCAGGGCTAACAAACTGACATTAACATGTTGAAGAGATAAATACAGACACCCTTCAGGTGAAGCCCACACTTAGCTCAATCCACCAATATTCTGAATCCACCTTACATACGCTGTGGAGAGAGAGGCTCAATTGATTTTGTTCACACCACTTATTCATTATCCCTTAACTTTCACTGTGGGGACTCTTAACCCTGGTTAGCTTAATTCAATTTCTGGGATATAGATCTATAAATTGAGTTAAAAACAATTTCCTTGATTGTTTAAAGCAGATAGAAAGGAGAATCCTCACAGAGTTATAGATTAGCTATAAAGGGCTTCAGAGATTATATTCACTCCAGGTGGATTGATAGATGGGAATTCTAAAGCTCCTGAACGTAATTTTTTAACTGCCCTGAGTGTTAATGGGAAAGCTAAAATTTGGAACTAGAATTATTGAATATGAGATATACTATATACTATGCCATCTCTCTTACTGAAATACTAACTTCCATGACAGTGCATTTCCATTCCTTGCTGATGTGTTGATTATGCTAGCAGCATTCTACACTAATAACTTATAAACTTTTAAGTAAAAAAAAAAAAAATCAATGCTATTAAATATCACTCCAAAACAACTTTCAATAGGTTTCGCTGTGATTTTGTACTTGGCTACTAATCATTTTTTCTCCTAGTGTGCACTAAATTATTGTATGGAGAGCTGGAAGGTTTAATCTAAAACCCAAGTCAGAATTCTCTCTTCAGTAATTCAACTGCAACAAGATGAAAATTCTGTAGTTTGTTCTAATCGAAAGTAGTTTAGGGGAACAACAAAGACTCATGGTATGTCAGGATTATGGAGAGCCTTAGAGATCATACAATAATTTTTTCCCACTTTACAGATGAAAAACCTAAGACACTGATAAGAGAAAGAAATTGTTCAAAGCCACATGCTTATTAAGTTGATAAAAATTGATGTGCCCATGCCTATTTTGCCTCATATCTGTTATTACCAATTAGATTTAATATTAATAATCCATCATTTAAACATGAAAATAATGTTACTAATATGCTATGTATAGGTAAGGCAAGCTTAGTCATTTTTTAGATCTAAAGGTGGAATAGTACTAAGTCCATAGAGAATGAACAGAGTTTTAGTCCTGGCTCTGCCACTACCTGATTGTGTGACTTATTTCCTTACATGGAAAATGGGGATAATAATATCCTATCTTAGAAAGTTTTTGGAAGAAACAAATAAGATAACAAATAAAAATTTGCTTCATAAATGGTAAAGCTCCATAAACACTGAGGTTGTTTCTCTGCCATCCTCACCAACTTCTGAAAATGTAATGAGACACCTTTGCAAGACAGGCACTTTTTATTTAGTTATTTTTCTGAAGTTTTATCTTGTTCTTTCAGTTGGAGCATATTCCTCTGTCTCCTCATTTTGCTTGACTTTCTGTGTTAGTGTCCATAAATTAGGTGGAATAGCTACTTCTAAATTTGAAGGAATGTCCTTGGGTAGGGATGTCCCCTTTATAGACTGCATGGGCCTGATGGCTTTGGCTGGCTGGCTGGTGCTCTAGGGGGTGTGGGCTGGGAATCCCAGGACACTCAGAGCTGGGGCCACTTTAGTAGGGTATCTGGAACTGAAGTGGGCATGAACCAGAGGGGAGTCCTGTGGCTCTCCATACAGATGGCACCCTGGCAAGACAGCTAAAGTGGGAGTAAGCTGGGGGGAGGGTTTCTCAGGGCATTCCATACAAAGGGCACCCTGGCAAGATGGTTGGAGCTGAAGTGGGCATGGGCCTAAGTGAAATAAGTCAGAGAAAGATAAATATCATATGATTTCACTTATATATGAAATCTAATGAAAAACAAGTGAACAAACAAAAAAAACAGAAACAGAAGCATAAATACAGAGAACAAACTGGTGGTTGCAGGGGGGAAAGGGGTGTGGGGTTGGAAAAAATAGGTGAAGGGGGTTAAGAGGTACATACTTGCAGTTATAAAATGAATAAGTCATGGGGATAAAAAGTACAGCAGAGGGAATATAATCAATAACATTTTAATAATATTACATGGTGACAAATGGTAACTATACCTATCCTGGTGAGCATAGCTTAATGTATAGAACTGTCAAATCACTATGTTGTACACCTGAAACTAATATAACATTGTATGCCAACTATATTTCAAATTAAAAATGTATAATTAAACCTTCTTAGTCTTTTAAAAAATAATTTCTGTTCAAGGAAATATACCTGAATAAATGTATTAATATAAAAAAAGAAATACAGGCACTTCTATGCTATGGGACAATATTAAAATCATTAAACATCCTGGGATTAAACCCAGCATAGTGGTAGTAACAGCATTATTCAACTACATTGAGGTCTTAGGTATATTTATGTTGGGGGGGGGGACAGGAGAGGCACAGATGGAGCTGCTGATACAGTTCATACAGCAACCCAAAGAGAAGAGAAATTTACTTCATTAAAAGGATGTCATTGTCCCTAATACTGTATATCTTCTGGGGGAGAACAGATTTTTAAAAATAAAACAAATTTAAGGAGTTAAGATGGTGGAGGAGTATGGAACCCTAAGTTCATCTGGTCCCTTGAATTCAGCTAGTTATCAAATCATTCTGAACACCTGAAAATCAATTGGAGATCTGAGAAAACAAAAGCTGCAATTCTACAAATAGAAAAGTGACCACTTTTTGGAAGGTAGGAGGTGCAGAGACTTGAATCTGGAGTGCTATGTCAGAGGATACAGCAGAGGGGAAGGAGCCAACTTAAGGAGGCTACTGCAAAGTATTATAAACAACAGAGTGCAAAATTGGAACTTTTAGAAGTCTGCTACAGTGGAGGACATCCATAGCTTAAAGGTGCTCAGGTGGTGAAGTGGGGTGGAATCCCACATATAACAGTGGTCTAAGGTTCCCCAGGGTCACAA